AGAGACCTTTTGCATAAAGCATATTCCCATAAAACATGGAGTGCGCTGTCACAGGGGGCTTTCCAGAAACGTGGACTGTCTCCCTCCAGCCTTATCTGGTGCCTTTGCTGAGGCATGGTTTACCAGCACAGTCACAAGCTATTCCTTGCCTCCCTTTGTGGCACCCCTCTGCATTTCTGCTGTAGGGGATGGAGTATTACGCTTCCGCCTGAGAATCTGCTGGAGAATTCCAGAGCCCTCTGCAAGTGAAACCTGAGCCCTCGCCTTCCTGTTGCATTGCTGGCTCCTTCTGGGGGATTAGATGTTGGTGGTCAGAGTCTGCATTGTTGGAGTGATGTGGTGCCAAGCAGCCTGGCCTCCGTCAACAGCAAGTCCACAGGCAACCCAGAGCCTTGCTGCTTTGGGTTTGCCTCTGTCTGGCATCTGATTAAAGACCCTGTCAGAGTGTGTTTAAACCCAGGAGTTCAGGAGGCAGCAGCCTCATTTCTCTCTCTCGATGTGTTTTTCCTAAGGTTTCTTTTTAAAATGCCGCTTCAGCTTTCCAGCCATCCCCGCTGCGTGAGACACGGGGTGCCCTCAACTCCCATTGGACCCAGTCTGAGTTGGAGGGTTCAGCACCTTGCTGGGGCAGGCCTGAATACCCTGGCATTAAATCAGCGATTGAGCGGCATTTAAAGTGGGGCCCTTAAGTGGGGAGGGAGGAGCGCTCGGCTGGAGGAAAGTCTTGTCTCTGTTAGACACTTGCACCTAGGACTGCTGTGGGAGAAATTGTCCCCACCCCAGCTGTCAGCAGGCTGCCCATCTTGGGATTCTCCCCGCTTTTGTTTCATATTTGAGATGAATTTAGTTTTGACCAAAAGTGGAGACCGAAACCCTGTGTCCACAACAACCCAGGCGTAAGCAGAGCGAGCGGCCACCGCACCAGCCTGTCCTCGACCCTGATCTGTAGCGGGAGAGGAGAGTGCAGTCTCCACAGCCAGTGCAGTCTCTGACCCCACTGCTGAGGCTGCCAACAAGGGGGCTGGTTAGGGATTTGGTTTGGGCAGAAGCTTTGGCACAGCCTTTATTCATCAAAAATGCAGTTTCTGGTGAGAAGTGTTCGCAAGTTTGATGTAAATTCACCAAATCGTTTCAGCCACACCCTCTTTTCAGGATTTAGGCCCTGTTCATTTAATATGGGCTGGGAGGGGGTGGTTAGGGTGCTCACTTGTAATCTCAGTGTCCCCTTCTGCCTGATGTGGAGAAGGGATTTGAACTTGGGTCTCCCACGTTGCAGGAGAGTGCCCTAGTCACTGGGCTGTGGGATAGCCTGATGTGGCTTTCTCTGTCTCTCCTCTTGAATCTGTTCCACTTTGTATCAACAGTCATTGGAGTGGGGGCTTGAGTTTGGGGGGGTCTCACATCCTGGGTGAGTGCCCTGACCACCAAGCTATAGTCATCCTTGCTTTGTCCCTGCCTCGCTGTAAGTCCCTGCTCCAGTGGCTAATTATTTAGACAAATTGGAACAGCTTGAAGGTCCCCCCCATCGGAATATTCCACAGCCCAGTGACTAGGGCACTCTCCTACAATGTGGAGAGCTAAGTTCAGATCCCTTCTCCACATCAGGCAGAGGAGGGGAATTAAACCTGGGTCTCCCACATCCCAGGTGGGTGCCTTAACCCCTGTGCTGAACCTTAGAAGAAGGGCATCACCTCTTCCTCTGGCCATTTTGTGACTCTAGCCCTCTAAGGACACACAGAACAGAGCATTTGGGGTTGAATGATATTTGTTCGACCCAAAATGTATTTTTTTTTTAATTCACCGACACTTTTTGCAAAGTTCAGCTTGTTCGTTTCCTGAGTATTTTCGAAACTGCCGGTGAATCAAAAACTCAGTTGTTTGCGCAGCTCGACCTGTGATGTGGGACATTTAGTCACTTGAAAGTGCACTGAGCCCCCTGACTGGCTCCAAGGTCACCGAACAGCAATCAGAGTAATGGCTTAACCTGGTCTGGATTCCATTGCTAATCCTGTGAACGCACTGCTCGTAAATGGCGCAGGGCTTTCAGCACTAAGGCAGCTTGCCACCAAGGGGCAGGTGTCTGGGAATCTCCCCTGTCAGGAAATGTCTGGCCTCTGAGGATGTCTGAAGCCCAGACTCTGTGGAAGGGGTTTCCTGATGCCTCTGTCCAGAGCAGGGCACAAAGGGAAGGTTGCCTTTTGTATTGGATTTAAAGTCCGTCTTCCAGCCAAACCCAGCTCCATTTGCTGTAGCTGAGACAGCAAAAGCCCTGCAGTGCAGGCATGGAGCACAGAGTGACAAGTGAATGGTCCAGAATTGAGCAACTGGGAGAACTTGCATGCTGAGATCAGTTTGGGAGATGCAGTCACAGGGTCCAAGACACAGATAACAGTGAGTTACAGCATCTGCCAAAGGGAGAAGCCCTCAGAGGCCCTGCCTTTCCAAGCCCCTCCCTGCACTTAGAGCATCTAGAAGAGAGAAAATAGGGAGCCCGGGCAGGTGCCTTCTCCTGACTGTGTTCCTGAACCCGATAATGAGATCTGTTTGGCCCATGCCTGTGTCTCCCACTTCAGAGGGTCTTGTCAATTGAAGACGAGGTCTGTGTGGCTAGAAAGCTTGTCTCTCTCACCAACAGAAGTTGGTCCAATAAGATATTACTTCACTCACCTTGTCTCTCTTATCAATTGCATGACAGCTGCACAGCCTTGAGCAGTATGGAATTGTACCCATCTCTCTCGAATCTTGGGGTTCAGAAACCATTATCTAGCTGTTGAAACATCTCCCTCAGTGCAGAGGGATGACCCACCGGCTCAGCGCAGCTACAAGATTCGCTTTTAATTTTTTGCTTTTCAAGCGAACCCAAACTTGCAAAAAACTTTGCCAGTTGAAGTTTCTCTCGTGCAACTTAAAATGGCTTCAGCTGGAAAAAATTGTCTCTTGACAGGTGACATGTCTGACCTGCTTTGTAGTCATTTGCTTGGCAAGTTTTCTTTCATCAAGACTGATCAGAAATTGTTCCCTGGCATTTGGGCTGCAAAAACTCTGGCCAGTTCTGGTTGATTAGAAAAGAACAATTCCCGCTGGAAGCATGATCTAGTGGTTAAGATACAGGACTGGGAGTCAAGAGATCTGCATTCTCCCAGCAGTGCTGTGACATGCAGGGCTGGTAACTTCACCTCTTTGTGCCGCTTTTCCCCATCTGTGATGTGGGTATAATAATACCAATCTCCCTCGCACAGAATTAGTGACCAAAGACTTACTTGCTTTAGCTTTCTGACCTCCTCTCCCATCAATGCAGATCCCCAAGATCTACCTACCCCCAATTAATACTGGGGGCATCCACAGTGTCAGCTGGACCATGCTGTCCTAGTGTAATGCTAGAATGTGAGTGCAACTAACAACTGGGACCAAGTATCCCTGGTGGCTCAGAATTCCACTGATGGCTCTTAACCAGCAATGCCTGTACTGCAGGGAGAATAGAGGCTGGGTTATCAGGGGGCCTTTCCACTCGAGGAGTCCAGATCTATGTTGGGGGAGTCTCAATTCCCGGGAATGGTGGGGAGAGGTCCCCGCTGCGTGAGCTGCAGCACTGGAGGTGTTTGTGGGGCTGTGGTATTCTTATGCTCCCTGTGTATCGTGTCACTTGGGAGAGGCAGTGAGTTTGGCTCGCTAGCGGGGTCAGACTGACGCTTGGCAAGGGTGTGCCTTGCTCGCTGCCGACTTTCCTTGTGTGGAGAGGAAACAGAAGCCGGAGTATCTGCCCATTATTACGTTCCCTTTACTGATGAGGAAACTGCATCAAAGAAATTAGCTGGAGGCCACACAGTGAACCAGTGTCCATGTCCTCTCCACTGCTTCCTTATAGTCACTGGATTTAAACGGAGCAGCTCTTATTTCAACTGCTGGTGCAGCTGGGTGACACCCATATCTTAGGTAGGGAAGCGATATCCCCGGGTGTGCATGAACTAGGCCCCTCCCTGTGGCATATAATAAATAAAAGGGGGTAGTTGATTATCAGGGAATGTGGCTTGAGGCTACCTTGGAGAAGAAGCAGTTCTGTTATCGGCCATGTGCTGCTCTCCTCCCCTACTGCACTGTTTGGAAATGCAGCACAGAGCTTTGCAAAACGGAGTTGAATTAAGTAGATGAAGGGAGGAAGGCTGGTCATCTGATCATGGCATACATAAGAACAGCCAGACTGGGTCAGACCAAAGGTCCAGCTAGCCCAGTGTCCTGTCTTCCCACAGTGGCCAATGCCAGGTACTGGACTCAGGTGACTTGGGTTCTGGCTCTGCCACAGACTCCCCGTGTGACCTTGGGCAAATCACTTAGTCCCCGTGCCTCAGTTTCCCCTTAGTAAAATGGGGATATTTCCCTGCCACACAGGTGGGTTTTGAAGATACATCTGGTAATGTCAAAGTGAGAGCAGGGAATATAAACTTCTAGACAGGAGAATAAAATGAAGCAAGATGTGGGAGGCTATTTCACAAAAGGGCGGGTTCTGGGAGTCAGTAGTGAGAATGGACCAGGGATGTCCTGAGTGTGGGTGCTTTGTAAGGAGGAAAACTCAGAGTGCTATGCAGATGGGGACTGGGACACTGCTCCACACACCAGCTGGTATGGTGGCAGGTACCATGCAGTCAGGGAATTGGGCCGGGAGGGGGCGTGTTGCAGAGATCCCATAGGCCTTGAAGGTGATGATGGGAAGCTTGAATTTGATAGGATGAGAGATGGAAACTGAGGTTTGGGGGGGATATGGACTGTTCTGTGTGGAGAGGAGGCTGGATCTACATGTATCTATTTAATAGCATTATCCAATGGGAAGCATCTGATCTTAGATGAGCCAGATTAGTCTGCCGGCCAATCTCGCGCCACCTCTCTGAGGCTTTGTACGTATGTTTCTTTTTCTCTTTGAGAAGGCAGCATTAGTGCCCTGGGCTCTGCCTCCTTGTATTGCAGCTTCCCCCGCCCTGACTTGTGTGTGTGTCTCCCCACTTTAGCAGCGTCGCCCTTAAGCTGAAAAACTGGCCAGCACAATGGGAAAAAAGCAGAACAAGAAGAAAGTGGAGGAGGTCTTAGAGGAAGAAGAGGAGGAGTATGTGGTGGAGAAGGTCCTAGACCGGCGAGTGGTGAAAGGCAAAGTGGAGTATCTGCTGAAGTGGAAAGGCTTCTCGGAGTAAGTGGAGAGGATGCATCCCAGTCTGGGATCCTGTCTTGTGCTGACAGTGGTTAGGGTGTCGGTCTGGGGCTTGGAAGACCCAGGTTGAGTTCCCTGCTCCAGTACAGCCTCCCTGTGTGACCTTGGGCAAGTCACGTAGCCTCTCTGTGCTTCAGTTCCCCGTGTATAAAATGGGAATAATTGCCCTGCCTTGCCGGGGGATCGTGATGATAAAGACATTATACTATGGTGAGAGAGTGCCAGTCCGGCTGGGCGGGCAAGAAGGTCCCACTTCCTTCCTCCTTCCTTCCCCTTGGGGATGGGCTGTTCACAGGCCATGGCAATCCCCAGCCCCGCCTTCCTCTCTGATCTGGATGGTCAATCCAGTTCGATGTACGTGGGAGGAGAGCGAGAGACATTGCCTTAAAGGATTCCCTTTCCTGTCCCTAGAAAGCCAAGTCTGAACTTGTGAGTGAAGTGCCTATGGGCTGGTGTGGAAATGGGGTCACATCTACCCATCAGGGCAAGTCTGTGAGTGGCTTCGGCTTCTACGGCTCAGCCTCCTCCCTCCCAGATCAGGGTACCCAGAACACGGCCAGGGTGTAGACCGCTACGGCTCTGGTCGCATCTCCATGGCCCTGTATCCAGGGCGTCCCTTCACTGACTCTAACCCCCTGGCCTGAGCCACAGGCCGTAGTGATGAGAGCAAGCTGTCTCCTTTGATTTCAGCGAGGATAACACATGGGAGCCGGAGGAGAATCTCGACTGCCCCGACCTCATTGCAGAGTTTCTCCAGTCCCAGAAAACCGCACACGAGAGTGAGAAATCTGAGGGGAGTAAACGCAAAGCCGAATCTGACACAGAGGACAGAGGGGAGGAGAGCAAACCAAAGAAGAAAAAGGAAGAGGTGAGGCAGGACTACTAGGGGAGAACCTCCCCATCCCCTAGCCGTGAAGTCTTGTTCCTGGATTCATCACTAGTGTGTAGTAGTTAGAGCGGAGGACAGGGAGCCAGGCCCCGTGGGTTCTATTCGCAGCCCTGCTGCTGACAGCCTGTGACCCGCCACGCCACTTCCCTGCTGTAAATTGGAGATGATAATAGTCACCAACCCCACAGAGAGGCTAGTTGTGTCTGTGAAGTGCTTTAAAATCCTTAGCTGGGCAAAAACATTCTTTCTCATCTCCCTGTCTCTGTTGGCGTGACGGCGGATAGAGATCAAGCCCCACTTCAGAGCCAGAGGCCAGTTGATAAATCTGGGGCAGTGTTTAGAGCTAAGCTGAGGTGTCCTCCTGGGATGGCAGGCGGAGTCCACCAGAGCAGTGAAGCCTCCCCCAAATGACCTCAGGTCATCACTGACTACCGAGGATAAAAAAAAAAATGCACAACAGGGATAGTGGTGCAGGTTATTAGGTCAAAACAAGGGAACCAGAGGGGAGCACAGAGCAGAGAACCCTGGACAGTGCCCCCTGCCCCCAAAGGGTTGGTGGACTCTGCCAGATATGTGCACGGACAAGGGACCAGAAAAGGGCCCCACTGTCACAGACAACCCCCCAAGTCTGGCTTCCTTCTCCTGGGCTGATGAATGGACATCTTGGCTGGTGTCGGGAGGAAGCTGGCAAGGAAGGTCTCAGAACTTCGTAGGACCACAGCCCTGGAGATCAGGTCCTTTTTTCCACATCATGGCAGCAAGGAGGTAAGCACCACTGCTGTGCCTCAGACCTGACCTGGCAGGATCCCCTCGTAGCCCGTTCCGTTTTCTGCAGACACAGGCCCGAGGCGCACCTAGTCACCCCACTCCGCAGCCATCCAATGAAGTCTGCATCATTTGAATTCACAAAATGGCACAGCGACACACCCAGGCAGGAAGTAGAAACGTCCCTCTTTGTCTTTCAGTCGGAGAAACCACGAGGCTTTGCCCGGGGGTTTGAACCTGAGCGGATCATCGGCGCCACAGATTCCAGCGGGGAGCTCATGTTCCTGATGAAATGGTGAGTGTGTCTGTGTCAGGCACTTTCTTCACTTACTCTGTGCCAGAGAGGCAAGGACCTGCACCTGGGGAGTCCCTACTAGCTGGCCTGAAATCTCGTGGTGGCGCTGCCGCCTGACTTGACCCTCGGCGCTGAGGCTAACGTGGATTTGCTATCAACAGGTAGGACCCTTGGGATTCTGGGATTCTTAAGATCTCTGCCCCAGTCACAAGCTTGGGGAGAGGAGGGCATGGCTTGATGGTGCTGGCCGCTGGTTCTGTGCCTGGAATAGAGCCACATCGGACACAGCTTCCCCTGTCGGCTGTGGCAAACAGGGTTGGGCCACTGGGGCAGGGGGCTCTAGGTCTATTCATCCCCAGCTGTGGCCAGAGGTGGGAGCTACTTGTCTTGCTTGGTGTTGCGTAGTGCAGATGAGATGGGGGGCGGGGCTGCAGCTTTGACCCCTGCTCCCCACAATCCCCTCATGCCTGAACTTGTTTGGTGGGCTTCCTGCATCTCAGGCATTTGGAGCATTGCTTGGAAAACCCATCTGGCCGAGGCCTTCCTTACCTGCTGCCTCTTGGGTTACTCCAGTGACGTCCGTTTCCAACCCCCTTCACTGTATCTCTGCTTCACCCTGTAGGAAGAACTCTGATGAGGCTGACCTGGTCCCCGCAAAGGAAGCCAACATCAAGTGCCCCCAGGTGGTCATCTCATTCTATGAGGAGAGACTGACATGGCACTCTTACCCCTCGGAAGATGACGACAAGAAAGAGGACAAGAACTAACCCACGCCTGCTCTGGCCAACCTTTGTATAAAGATCAGACTGTGGGTTTGAGCGACAGTGAGAGAATGCAGCTCTACTTAGCGGAGAGGTGGCTTGAGAAGATGCCCTTTGAAGAGACAGTATGGTTTCTGTGCCCTGCAGCTGCCCAAGTGTCCAGCTTCAAACCAGCCTGACACGAGGGGGAGGGGGAGATGTGTTTCAAGGCTGTTTCTGCAGCTTTCTGGAGAGGAAGTGAAAGCCCCTTCCATGAAGAACTATTGCTGGTGCTGGGTAGGCTGGGGAAAGGGAGGGCAGATGGATACTGCTTGTTCTTCAAAGACCATCTCAGCAACCCACAGCCTTCTTCCCAATAGTGTTAACTCTGCATTTTTACAGCGTAGCATGTGTGTAGGTTTTTTCTTTTTGCTATTACTGGTGTATCAGTTTGGGGTGGGTCTTTTTAAAGGGGGGGGGGGGGGAAAACGGTTGACAGTGTTCCAGATCCATGACCAGAATCCTTTTTTATAAACATCTTTATTAACTTAAACCCCCGAGTATTGGTAATAGGACTAGGGGGAGGGACAATGGTATGAGACTGAAGCTGTGAATGTCCAAATCCTCAATCCCTAGAGCAATGTTATTGGGGGCAGGATGGGGGGGGGGGGACCTGCAAAGATGCAAGCCTGTAATTAGTAGTGTCTCCAAACAGAACTGCCAGTGTTGCTGACTTGTGTATTGTAAATGAGAGGGTGGGGAATGGGGAGGGAATTGATATCAACCCCTTAAAAGCCCTTCTGCCCCCTTTCCGTTAAGGTGCTATTTTGTGAAATTAGAGAAATAGAAAGTTCTGATTTCTTTGATTTCTTTTCATCCCCAATTGGATTCTGTCCACCTGGCAGCATTGGGATCCCCTTTATTCTCTGTATGTATGTATGTACGTATGTGATAACACGGTCCTCCCTGTTTTTAATCCTATTAGTGTAATGTGAGAGGGAGGTGAAATCATTTCAAAATCCTCTCCCAACAAGTGATTTGTTTTCAAGCCCAAACTTCAGCACTGGAGCCAGCGCTGTTGCTCTGCTGAATTTTTTTTTTAATCAAACGGATTTATTAAAAATACTGAAATATTTAATGTCTGGAGTCATGAGCTCCTACAGGCTCCTGGCACCTCCTTGTAGGGTGATATGTATCTAGAACTGCATTGTACAAACCTTTTTTTAAAAGCATGTGTTGTTTAGGTTTCTGTGAAAACATTGTTTAAATGTAAAGTACGTGTTTGGATTTTAACTTCATACCAAGCTCTGTCCGTTTTTTTGTCTCAATAAAATTTTAGATTTATAATCCCGATTTTACTTTTGCTCCCGTCTGCAGCTCTGGTTGTGTGAGAGTCGATCGCAAGGCGTAGAACAGTTAATGGAGAGGAGTTAACATGTTGCTACAGATGTCTGCTCTCAACAGGACTGGATCACTGATGCAGCCTGGGTGATAGGCCCCCGTGCATTTGTGAATTAGGTGGCTACAGAGGCAGGAATTTCAGAGCAGACAGGAGCCTATTTATTTTGACTTCCCATCTGAAGAGAGGAAGTGTCTTGGAGGTTAGTGTCTAGTGCAAGTTCGAGTCAAATCTCCTAGGGTTCTAGTAGCCCTGGATTTGGTAATCAGTGGCCAGTGACTACTGGGTCTGGATGCAATTTGCACTGGTGGAACTTACCCCAGCTTGAAGTTTGTGTGTATAGAGCGCCACGCTTTCACATGCTCTTCCCCACTCTGCCACCAACTTGGCTGATCTTGGGCAAGTCACGTAAGCAGTCAGAGGGGAAAGTGCAGCACAAATGTGGAATGTTATGAGGCTTCCTTCCTGTTTAAAGGACTTTAGGATTCTGTGCAATGAGTACAGAGTCGTCAGCTGTCTTGCCTGGAGCAGTGGTTTTTATAAAGCTCTCTTAATGGTTCCAGGGTCTCAGGAAGATCAAACCTCACTAATTCCTGTCCAACCTTTTAGGAGTGACAGAATGCTGCAAACTGGCAAGAATGAACCCGCAGATCAAGGGTACTGCATGGTGAAATGTACCGGGGCTGGTTTGTTTCAGCCAACTAACGCATTGTGGCATAATAGGAAACGTGCTGGTGCATATTCTGAAACCTGAGTAATTCAGACAGCTGCAGCCCTAGGTGTGCCATTCCTGAGAAGTGGACTCAGCGGGCTGGGTCATTAGGTGTTGGAGTTACGCAGTTAAGGTAAGAGGAACTAGTGAGAGTCTCACTTGTTGGTGGCCAATCAGAGTGCTGGTGCTTAGTGAGTGAAACAAAAGCGGGCAGCCAATCGGAATCCAGCTTATTTGTAAAAGTGCACTCTGTACCCAACAGCACAATGAACTTACAGCCTCTGCTGGGGCAGTTGAGGATGTTCAACCTGTATTAGTCACTTGGGTCCAGCTAATTGAACAGAATAAAGCCTGGATCCCCTAGGAGGTGCTGGTGATCTACATTGCAGCAGGTAGCTGAAGAGGTTTTAGTGTAGGCAAGAGCCCAGGGATGGAACTGCAGCCTGGCAGGCAGAGTCTGGCTTTCCTCCTCATAGCGTTAATGCTGCACAGAGTGGCTGGACCAGGGCTTGGTCCCAGCACTGCCGCTGACTTGCCCTATGGTTGAGCAGGATGCTACACCTCCCCCTGCCTTCGTTTCTCCACATATGAAGCTAATCCTCCAAGCCAGCCAGAGGAGGACTCTTCCCTGGGCTGTGTTGAGTGGTGCCGCTCTGCTCCTGGCAACAGGCTGATGCGCTCCCTGCCTAGAAGTCTCATTAGGAGTGGGGCTTTGATGGACTCTGACGTGGGAACAGTAGCTATTTCCTCGGCCGTCTCCAGCCACAGTCCTTTCACCAGATCCTCCGTGTCTGGGAAAAGCAAGGGGCTGCCCTTAATGAGACTTAACGTTGAACTGACTGACCCCAGTGGTGAACAACAACAGAACAGCCTGATGCTCCTTAGAAATGACGTTCCATCACAACTCTCGCTGAGATCATAGAAACGGAATTGGCAGTGGAGAACTACTTCCTGCTTTTGAAAACAAAGGTCTCCACTTCACCTGATTACCAAGCAGCGGGGAGGCAGCTTGAGCCCTGGAACGAGGCAAAAGCAGCAATGTGGGTAGCTGGTTAAGCCTCTTTCCCTCTACCTCTGGTTTGTATTAAGAGGCCATGGCCTGGCTGCCCAAAGCAAGACTTGACAGCTTTGGGCAGGGAGCCCAGAAGTAAATGGGTCTGTCGGGCTAATTTTCCTCTCAGACTTGCTGCTTTGCAACTGCATGCAGTGTGAGGGAACAGGTTTTTTTTTTACTTGTGTCTGGCCTGCCAGATGGGCAGGTTGAGACATTCTGACTCCAGCTCACACAAGCACAAATTTCAATCACAGGCTCAGATACAAAGGTGGAAAAGACCCTGGTGGAACAGATTCCTTCCCCACTACCTTCTGCTGGAAATCAGCAGAAAGTGGAGAAGAGCGTGATCAGTGGTTAAAGCAAGACTCGGGTTCTCCCCCTTGTTCGGTGGCTTCAAGGAAGTTCATGAATCAAGCTGGCCCTTAACACAAAAAATGGGGGGAAATATTCCTCTCGGGGCCAGGCTTCATTAACTGTTTGAGCCTTGAGATCCTTTGTTGAAAAGTCCCATCACGATGCAAATAGCGGGACTAAGATGTGCTCTGAGCACTGGGACGCTGTGGCTATCTTTGCTCATTTACAACACCTCTGTATGTGGTCAGTTTCATGGTTTCCCTCTCCCCTATAGTCAATCTCCATCCTACAGGGCTGAGGCCCAAGGGGGCCAACTCTCACACCTGCTCAACTTTCCTGCTCACACCAACACCAAGAAAGTTTGGAAAAATGTTGTAAAACAATTAACATTTTCAGGGTGTCTTAGCACCAGGTGCAACCTCTAAACATACTTTGAATGGACTAGCTCTCAAATGAGTGGTGTCCATTTCAAGTAAATCCCAAGAAGTATTAGCCCCAGGGAGAGAGTAAAATTTACAAAGCAAAACTACCAAAATTAAAAATCCTATTTAAACCCAATATCCTGAGGGGTTTAAAACTTTAAATTAGCTGCCTGACCTCCAATGCGGTCTTCCTTTTTGCATTTCAGCTTGGAGTGAAACTGGACTGGCCAGGTTCACGTACTAGCAGCAAGACTGGTTCTAGTCCTGTAAACCCAGGTCTTCTCAGGAAAACACTTCTATTTATATTATATAAAATCCCCACTTTGGAAAGAGGGACTATTCCAATGGATGCACTAAGTAAAAATAACATTTGCAGATCATGTCACACTTTTTTTGGAAACTTACATCAGTTGCATAGCTTCTAAGGCTGGCTGGAAATTCATTTGCTTTAAAGGCCCTGTTCTGCCCTTAAGTAGCGATAAATCCTACAGAGAACTGGATTAAAAAAAAACATTAGTGCAGGAACCACTTTGGCCCATAGGTATAAATCCATAGTATTCGCTCCAGAAACATTTCAGGACCCTTCCTGGAGGTTGTAGTCATTTCTAGAGATTTAAGCATATTTTCCTTACCCAGGCTTTAATACCTGACCTTAGAAACACATGAACTAGTTTTTTAAAAATGTGACTAGGGATGTGCACTGTGCTAACAAACTAAACAGCTGCTGGTTTTACTTTTGTTTATAGCACATTTCCTCTTCTACTTTCCATAGCTTAGCAAAATGCTGCAGAGGAATGTTAACTGAGTCCCTCCACTCATACCATGTTCATGGGGGTTTAAGTTTGGTGAAAGCATTTCTATGAATGGTTTGGATTTTGAAATGTAGAGTTTTGGCCTATAGCTGATGGTCCCTTTAACAAACAGCCATTTATTCTCTCATAACTGGGGGGGGGGGAGAATTGCTATTATGGTAATTTTTGAAATGCACTTTCTATTCATAAGGCATGTGGGGGTTTTGGAAACAGGATGAGTATGAGCTGTCAAGGGAAGCTGGGCTCCAATGTCACTGAAGTACTTTTGAAAACATTAACCTGTGTCTAATGTGCAGGATGCGTGCGTCTGATTCCAGCTTTGGCAACCCTGTTTCCTCATCTGTAAAACAGAGGTAGCTCTTGTCTCAGATCTGTCTATAAAGTGCTGTGGGATCCTGGGACTCGAGAAAGGTATGGCTAGAGGAGGTAAGTAGTAGTCCAGTGAGTGGGGGAGCAGTATGGGGCTCATAGCAGGCCCACGCCTCTACTCTCCCTGTAAGAACAACAGACCCTTAAGCCTGGGTGGAGAAGCCACTGCCACCAGGACTGCCTCAGAGCAACTCCTCCTCCTTGCAAAGCTTCTTTAGGAGAGGGAGGGGAAATACAGCATAATGGGCTGGGCCCAGAGCCCCTTTACTCTTCTCTCAACCTAGCAGCTCAGATCTTTGAATGATGGGCTGTGGAGTAAGGTGCTGAGCTGGGCCTCAGGAGGTTGGATTCAATTTCCAGGTCTGCTACAGACTCCCTGGACGTTGGCCAAGTCACTTCATCCTGTAAAACAGGAACGATTACTTCCTTACTCTCACTGTTTATCTCGGAAGCTCTTTGGGGCAGGGTCTATCAAAGAGGCCAGATCTTCAGCTGACAAGAAGGACTAGCTCCATTCACGTCAATGCAGCTATCCCAACTTACATCAGCTACAGATCCGACTCACCCAGCATCTGCCTCGGGGAGAACTGGGCAGCGTGGGTGGGGGGTGTAAGCCCCTTGGTGGGTTTGCCACCTGGAGCACACTCTCACTGCTCAGGTTATTAATCATTACTTCTGCCTCTAGAAAGGTCTGGAAAGGCAGCAAATGTGCAAAGAGGCACACTGCCTGCAAATGACTGAACTTGGATTTGTCTCAAGCCTCTGCCTGGCAACCACCCTGAGGCCCTATGCCAAAAAGTGAACACCATAAATAAAGCAAAAGGGGGAGGGGGAAGTTAGGTGCTTTTGAAAATTCTACTCACCAGCTCCTTCCCTAACTCCTAGGGACTTTCAGAGACTCCTTAGTACCAGTCACTTGACAACGGGATGTAGGTGATGTTGAAATATTTATCCCCTTGCAGACCCGGGAATGAGGCGCTCTCTCTCAGGATGAGCCCCATTGCTGTCCCTGTCTCTCTGGCTACTTTCATTTTTCTTCTTATTCCCTTCCTCAGCTCCTGTCTCAGGTTAGTCCCTCAAGGGAGTGAGCGAGTGAGTTATTTGCAAAGCATCAGGTAGATGGTGTCTGCACTGAGGACCGAGGGGTTCCTGGGAGTATAACAACAACAACGCTGCCTTGACTAACCCGTGATATTCTAAGTATTAATGGATGTTCCTAGCTGTG